TGGGACTTTAACTTTCTGTATTTTACAGTTCTGTATTGTTGGAAATTTACAACTATCTCTCACTTTGTAATTCAAAAAGTAAAGAAAACTTAAAGAAAGAATTGTGTTTCAGCAGAGGGTAACGAAAGTGTTAGTGATGGTCTTTCTTTTTGGCTCTACAGTTCCCCTAGACAGGACTCTTCCTTTGAAGGATATTTGCATACGGATCCAAAGACTTTTCAGACTTTGGTTACAAACAAGGAGACCCATATGACGTTAAGCGATTATTTTACTAATCCCACAGGTAATCATTTCAATTTTAATATGCTGTTAATAGCTGCTTCTCTTTGTGATTTTCCCATCCTGTTATTAATTTAACTCATTCTACTCTTCGAGTTTCTCCCTAAGTTACTGTATTTTTCTACTATGGACTTGCCAGGAGCAACTATTTATGTCTCCAGTGATTTTTAAAAAACATATTCACTCTCTATTAATCGTATCTTTGCTAAATCTCATGAAGCTTATAAATAAAACCAAAGATTGTTTCGTATAAATCATTCCATGAAGTTAACTATCATTCTTCTCTTCTGTTAGTTTAATAGCCAATTTCTTATAAGCTATAAAGATATTATTTTATATAATATTCTAGAAATTTGAAAAATATTTTAAGGCTATGAGGTTTTATATGAAATATTTATTTATTTATTTATTTTGAGACAGTGTCTCACTTCTGTTGCCCGGGATAGAGTGCCATGGCGTCAGCTTAGCTCATAGCAACCTCAAACTCCTGGGCTCAAGCAATCCTCCTGCCTCAGCCTCCCGAGTAGCTGGGACTACAGGCATGCACCACCATGCCTGCTAAATTTTTTATATATATATATATGAAATCTTTATTTTTTTTAAGTTCAACATTATGAGGGGCAAATATTTATGGGGAGAAAGCTTGGGAGGTTAAACTATATCTCTGTTTTTATGGTATTAAAAAAAATCTGGTTGTGACGAGGGAGAGATGATGAATTTGAATATAATCATGTCTCTGCAAAGTAAACAGAGCAGGCCAAGGGATTTTCTTTGTTTTTATTAAATACTATTTATTATGGCTTCTTGACCAGTTGCTTCCAGACCTTGATTAGTCAGATATTTTATTAAAATTGGCCAACTAGGCCGGGTGCGGTGGCTCACGCCTATAATCCTAGCACTCTGGGAGGCCAAGGTGGGCAGATTGCACGAGGTCAGGATTTGGAAACCAGCCTGAGCAAGAGCAAGACCTCATCTCTACTATAAATAGAAAGAAGTTGATTGGCCAACTAATATATATAGAAAAAATGAGCTGGGCGTGGTGGTGCATGCCCTGTAGTCCCAGCTACTTGGGAGGCTGAGGCAGAAGGATGGCTTTAGCCCAGGAGTTTGAGGTTGCTGTGAGCTAGGCTGACATCACGGCACTCACTGTAGCCTGGGCAACAAAGCGAGACTCTGTCTCAAAAAAAAAAAAAATTGGCCAACTAGTCAATATACTAGCCATTGTGAAACTAAACCAGCAATAGGAACAGGGTGCAGAAAGAACAATTTTAAGAGATGCTGATCTATTTTTTATGATTAGAAGACAGGCCATAAATCTGTTGGGTTTTTCCCTCACTCTTAGGTGTCCCTGGTTGGGCAGTGTGTGCACAATGCCCCTGTGGCATTTCTTCAGAATTTTGATGTTAAATGCATTACTGATTTGGAAATACGCCAAGAACAAGATGGTATTCTCAATGTGAAGATAAAGAGTGGTGCTATGGAAAGACGTATGTTACATTTCTTTGAAAAAAGAACACAGGCCCGAGTGTTAAGATAAACTCTGATCTCATAGGATTATCAATAAATCACTTCTACTGAGTAGCATAAAATAATATTTCAACTGCTAATTGAGGAAGGTGTTTTCCTTGGGAAAAGATCAGTTCCATAAGACAGTATACTGCACATTAGTTCTTTTTTTGAAAGTGAAGTAAAATCAAATAACAAAATTAACCATTTTAAAGTATACAACTCAGTGACATTTAGTACATTCACAGTGTTGTACCATCTTCACCTCTGTCTACTTCCAAAACATTTTTATCACCCTAGAAGGAGCCTTGTGCTCACCATTCTCCCTCCCCCTCCAAAAACCACTGATCTACTTTCTATCTCTATAGATTGCCTATTCTAGATATTTCATATAAATGGAATCATACAAAAGTGGTCTTCTGTGTCTGGCTTCTTTCATTTAGCATGACACTTTCCAAGGTTCATCCATGTTGTGGCATGCGTCAGTACTTATTTTTATGACAAATCATACTCTGTTGTATGGACAGACCATGTTTGTTTGTCTGTTCATCAGTTGGTGGACATGTGGATTGTTTTCACTTTTTGACTGTTGCAAATAATACCACTGTGAACACTTGTGTGAAAGTTTTTGTGTGGCTGTGTGCTTTTATTTCTCTTGGGAAGATACTAGGAGTGAATTGTATGTCATTGATAATATGACTTTTTGATCTTTCAAAAGCAGGTAATACGCTTTTTGAGGACCCACCAAACTGTTTCTCAGTGGCCTGCACCATTTCGCATTCCACGCAGCAGTGCGCTGGTGTTTCTTTTACGCCACAGTGACACCCATAGCAACCCTGACTTGTGGATTCTCCTCCATAGTTATACGTAGAGCTAAGAAGGTGGGAGTCCCATCTGACAGTGTTTGAAGAGTGGGGAGGGTTCTGTAGTTGGCACACAGGGCAGGTGCGGCTCGCCATGTCTGTTGATGAGCTTTCCTTTGAGTAGTAACTGTGATGAGGGTAGGCCATGGAGTCTGGGGAAGCTAATTCATGTTTCTTTTTAGGCATAGTTACCACACACTCAAAAAAAAAGAAAAACTTATTATAGGAGAAAATTACCCTTATCAGTGATCTAAGTTTCCACTTTAATTTAGAAAATTAAGCAATTCAATCACAAAGTAAGCAGAAAGAAGTAATAAAGACTGTAAATGGTTATCAATAAAATGTTAAAGTGGACTGATAGTATATACAATTTTAAAAATTAAAAACATTTTGTAAGATTAAAGAAATCTATCTTTACTGCAGGGGGGAGAGAGGAAAGGAGAAATTAGAGGTGTGAATTAGGAAACATCACCTCCAGATTTTATTGTTAAAATATATTTTAAAAATCACATGAAAGTCTTTGTCTGTTAAAGGAAAGCAAAACAATGAATGAAGGTGCTATCCTTATCTCAAGGGTGTTTTTCTTTCATTTCTCATTTCTCTTCTATATTATTTGATGAGACAGCACTTGCTGTGTTAGAATATAGGAGGAGAGGTGCTAATTCTCATCTGTTGTGTTTGTGTAGGTTACCAACTTGGCAAGCCTGTCCGAGTTCTAAATACCAATGGAACAAATAATGACACAACTTTTCACCTTTGGCAGTCAGGTAATCCAGCCTGGGCATTATGACTAGCCCTCTGGTGAACTGGAGCTAGAAGTATTACCATATTTTGAATCTAATCAAGGAATCAACTACTTTAACACCCAGTTGGTTTATTTAGCAAGGAGGAATAACTGCAGTGGTTGTTTTTCATGCTTCTACAGCTTTTTTTTTTTTTTTAAAGAAATTCTATCAATGTTTGCACCTGAAGTCATAGTCGTTAGTGAGGTTTAAATGTCTTGAGATATTTCTTGTCATTGTCATCTATAGCCCAGGATGGTGCTAATTGGGGACATGAGAATAACTACATTCTGAACTATGGAAAATCTTCCCGTTAGTGGTAGTTACCCACATGTGCCAGAGGTGTTCGATTCCATGTTCTGCATAAACCACTGATCAGGTCCAGGGATTCTGATACAGGAAGGCACCCTTGTTCCACTTGAAAGGGATTAGAGTAACGACGATCTTAGTTTTTGAAAACTGGAAACTTTATTTCTACTTACTATTTTCTCTCTTTCTTTAAGCTTTGAAGTAAATCCCTACTTTTACTTAGCAAAAATAATAAGAGGATAATCTTTTTCTTTTATAGCTGGAAGGGGGTTATGTACGTCAGCAACTTTCAAACCCATTTTATTTGGAGAAAATGCACTATCTGGGTGCTTATTAGAAGTTGGGATTAATGAAAACTGTACTCAGCTCAGGTGAGTGTTTCACTGATGAATTTATCTGCAGTTTGAATGGTTTGCCTAAAATTCATGCCTCCAAACGTGTGAATGTAGAAGAACATTACATTTCATATGGAATAATAAGACAATCCATGGAATAAATGTCAAAATTATCTGGGCAGAAATTAATGCGCCACCAGAAAGGTAACTTTGATGAGGGTAGCAAGAATGCTTTCAGTTTAAAGTATTTTTTTTTTTTCAAGTTTTCATAATTATAGTATATAAAAACTATGTCAGATTTGTTTCTTATGAGAATTTGTGATTTGATCAAAGAGACAGTATTTTTGTTCATGTAAAATGCAATTTTAAGGTAAAGAAAATATACATAGGGATAATTTCTTTTCCTAGTGAAATGTTGCATATTATATTTTTATTGTTTTTATTTCTAGGAATAATGACACAGAGATTTACAGTAAATTTTTAGGCTATAACAGTGGAATGAGAAACATCTGGAAATCCAGGTAAGATGATGAATGCATCAATCATTGATCTTACAAACATATTTTAGTTCAATACTCCTGCATTATCACGATGGCTTTAAGTAACTCTCTTGAATTGTAGTTTGTGACTCTGACCTTTCCTTTATTCTCTTTTGTGATGCTGTATTCTTTTCTAATAGCAACTTAATTTTTTTTATAGAGAGTGTTGTACCTAGTAGCACTGTTACTTCCAATGTAAAACATTCTTTCTCTTTACTGTACTGGCTCTTTTGAGAGACATGCTGCATTTATCATGTCGGTAACATGAGCTTTCTAAGAAATAGTGAGCTGCAGATGATGAGTTCTTAACCTGAGATCCCTGTGAGACTGCATGGGTCTCTGAACGCCCTGTCCTGTGTGTTTTGTATTATATGCAGATATACACCCCCTGATTTGTCATAGACTTGTTTTCTTTTTTCTTTTTTTCCATAGAGCTATGGTATAGAAAGATCTACTTGTTTCTTTCATTCACTTTAGCCTCCTCATTGCCTCAGACAGCCTAATCTGTGGACTGCACTGTCCTACATGGTAGCCAGTTGCCACATACAGCTGTTGGAGTGCTTGAAATGTGGCCAATATTGTGTGCGAAAAATGATAATATTTTGGATTATTGATTGATTCTAGAGGTGGTTATATTGGTGATGGTATACTTTCAACTTTTCTGTACATGTGACATTTTGTAGTAGAAGTTGGAAACAGTAAGTTGGATTCATAGGAGATGGATGGGAATAGGACCTAACACCAGACTTTGAGGTTGCTCGGATTTACTAGCAAATGTCCCACTGAAAGCACTTTGGTTTAGTTTCCTTTACAGGCTCCTGCGATAGGTAGTATTAATCATTCAGCAAGTGTTCATTAGCTGGCCCGCTCATGTGTCTCTGCACGAGAGATCTAAGACTGACTCATGCCTGCTTTTTAATTTTCGTTGTTTTTGTTTGTTTCCACACCAGCAGCTCTTTTTTTTTTTTTGAGAAAGAGTCTCACTTTGTTGCCTAGGCTAGAGTGAGTGCTGTGGCGTCAGCCTAGCTCACAGCAACCTCAAACTCCTGAGCTCAAGTGATCCTACTAGCCTCAGCCTCCGAGCAGCTGGGACTACAGCATCGCCACCATGCCAGCTGATTTTTGTATATATGTTTTAGTTGGTCAATTAATTTTTCTATTCTGGTAGAGACAGGTTTGCTCAGGCTGGTTTCGAACTCCTGACCTCGAGCGATCGCCCGCCTTGGCCTCCCTGAGTGCTAGGATTACAGGCGTGAGCCACTGCGCCCGGCACCAGCAGTTCTTTATTGTAGAACAAAATGGGTCTGTCTCCACGAGTAGAGAGAGACAGACTGACAGACCAACTCACTGACCACTCTCTCTTTCTCTGAACTCTCAAATTGTTTCCTTTTATTAGCCCAGTCTGGGGGCAGGCTCTCAGGATGTGTGGGATGTTATCAAATGATCAGTAGTCATCCTCAGTTCCATCTGCATACATGAGCCCCCTCTCTGAAAGCCCACCTGGTGTGGGTGAACCACAATCAGATTCAAACTAATGGCATAATAATTACGGTTAGGTTACTTTAGGTCAGTTCTAAGTCCTATCATGCCTGGGATTGGGATTCCCAGATTCATAAAACATTCCCTCCTTTCAGGTGTAGCAGTTGCTCTGGATATGATTAAGGGTAAGGCAACACCAAAATGGAGTGTCCGCCCTTATCCTTCTTCCCAGGTGAAGCAATTGCTTGGAATAACAGCAAAGCAGGGAACCCTTGTCCCAAGAACGGCCAGAGATCCTAACTGTCTACCTAACATATATATATGTATGTATTCAGTTTACCCAACAACTGAAATACACATTCATTTCAAGCACACATTAAACATTCTCAGAGATAGACATAGGTGGTTATAAGGTGAAAGTCATTGATCTTAAAATTGAAAAAATATACACCTTGTTCTTTAATCCTAACAGAATTAAATTAGAAATCAGTAAGGGAAGGAATCTCAAAATCTCCTACATATATGAAAATTAAACAACCACTTTTAAATAAAATATATTATTAATTAGATCAAACTTGAAATTACAAAGTATGTTCAGATGAATGAAAGTAGATGCAGCTAAAGCTTAGAGGGAAACTTATAGCTTTGAAAAACTTATAATTGCCTGGTGTCGATGGCTTCAGCCTGTAATCCTAGCACTCTGGGAGGCGGAGGTGGGTGGAGGGCTCGAGAGTCAGGAGTTCCAAACCAGCCTGAGCAAGAGTGAGACCCTGTCTCTACTATAATAGAAAGAAATTAATTGGCCAACTAATTTATACAGAAAAATCAGCCAGGATGGTGGCACATGCCTGTAGTCCCAGCTACTCTGGAGGCTGGGCAGTAGGATTGCTTGAGCCCAGGAGTTTGAGGTTGCTGTGAGCTAGGCTGACGCCACGGCACTCACTCTAGCCTGGGCAATAAAGCAAGACTGCTGTAAAAAAAAAAAAAATTGGCCAACTAGTCAATATACTAGCCATTGTGAAACTAAACCAGCAATAGGAACAGGGTGCAGAAAGAACAATTTTAAGAGATGCTGATCTATTTTTTATGATTAGAAGACAGGCCATAAATCTGTTGGGTTTTTCCCTCACTCTTAGGTGTCCCTGGTTGGGCAGTGTGTGCACAATGCCCCTGTGGCATTTCTTCAGAATTTTGATGTTAAATGCATTACTGATTTGGAAATACGCCAAGAACAAGATGGTATTCTCAATGTGAAGATAAAGAGTGGTGCTATGGAAAGACGTATGTTACATTTCTTTGAAAAAAGAACACAGGCCCGAGTGTTAAGATAAACTCTGATCTCATAGGATTATCAATAAATCACTTCTACTGAGTAGCATAAAATAATATTTCAACTGCTAATTGAGGAAGGTGTTTTCCTTGGGAAAAGATCAGTTCCATAAGACAGTATACTGCACATTAGTTCTTTTTTTGAAAGTGAAGTAAAATCCAAATAACAAAATTAACCATTTTAAAGTATACAACTCAGTGACATTTAGTACATTCACAGTGTTGTACCATCTTCACCTCTGTCTACTTCCAAAACATTTTTATCACCCTAGAAGGAGCCCTTGTGCTCACCATTCTCCCCTCCCCCTCCAAAAACCACTGATCTACTTTCTATCTCTATAGATTTGCCTATTCTAGATATTTCATATAAATGGAATCATACAAAATGTGGTCTTCTGTGTCTGGCTTCTTTCATTTAGCATGACATTTCCAAGGTTCATCCATCTTGTGGCATGCGTCAGTACTTATTTTTATGACCAAATCATACTCTGTTGTATGGACAGACCATGTTTTGTTTGTCTGTTCATCAGTTGGTGGACATGTGGATTGTTTTCACTTTTTGACTGTTGCAAATAATACCACTGTGAACACTTGTGTGAAAGTTTTTGTGTGGCTGTGTGCTTTTATTTCTCTTGGGAAGATACCTAGGAGTGGAATTGTCATGTCATATGATAATATGACTTTTTTTTTTTTGATCTTTCAAAAGCAGGTAATACGACTTTTTGAGGACCCACCAAACTGTTTCTCCAGTGGCTGCACCATTTCGCATTCCCACACAGCAGTGCGCTGCGTGTTTGCTTTTATGCCACAGTGACACCCCATAGCAACCCTAACTTGTGGGATTCTCCTCCATAGTTATACGTAGATGCTAAGAAGGGTGGGAGTCCCATCTGACAGTGTTTGAAGAGTGGGGAGGGTTCTGTAGTTGGCACACAGGGCAGGTGCGGTCGCCATGTCTGTTGATGAGCTTTCCTTTGAGTAGGTAACTGTGATGAGGGTAGGCCATGGAGTCCTGGGGAAGCTAATTCATGTTTCTTTTTAGGTATAGTTACACCACAAGTAACCTATGAGGCCAGAACTGACCTAGACAAATTCATCACCAACGCAGGTATTTTAATGTTATACTTTTATGTAATTTCCACAGAAATATGCATGTCGTTTCTTCTAAGTAACATATAGCCCCAGAGTAAAATGCATTTTTTAAAAAGAATTTAAAGAGGTTCACAACAGTTAGAAAGATGTCCCAGTAGTATTTCATTTGTTCCTTGCTCTGTCCTGCCTTGCTGTAGGGCACTTTCTGCGACCTCGAGCCAGTGCCTTCACAGCCTTGCATTATGAGTCCCTTGTTCTGTGAGCCTGTTCCTTTTTTATTTTTAACCAACCAAGAAGAAGCACTGATTGTAAGCCTTTTCTTAAATGTTTGTCAGATAGTTAAAGAATTCTTTAGAAGTGCATTTTCACTTCTTGCTTTCTTTTCTTTTTTTGATAATTAAGCCTTGCAATTGTGATGTAGGCAAATAAGTTATTTGGGGTTTCGCTGATCTTACTAGGACTTTTTGTTTTTAATGAAGGAGACTATTTGTGTTTCTTTTTAATGTGTTACAATTCTCAAGTCTATTCATTGCTTTGTCAGATGTGAGTGGAGTTCCCATAGTACAGCAGGGCACTGGACAGCAGGCCCTGCTGCTGTGGAGCTGACACTCTGTCATCGTTCATCTTTAGCGCTTTGCCAGGTGTGCTACGTGTCTAGCTGTGAGCCAGGTGCTAGCAGTATAGAGTCTCACTCTGTTGCCCATGCTAGAGTGCCATGGTGTCAGCCTAGCTCACAGCAACCTTAAACTCCTGGGCTGAAGCAATCCTACTGCCTTAGCCTCCCGGGTAGCTGGGACTACAGGCGTGTGCCACCACACCTGGCTAATTTTTTCTATTTTTAGTTGCCTGGCTAATTTCTTTCTATTAATTTGTTGAGATGGGATCTCACTCTTGCAGAGGCTAGAGTCTCAAACTCCTGAGCTCAAGCGATCCTCCCACCATGGCCTTCCAGAATGCTAGGATTATAGGCTTGAGCCACCATGACTGGCCAATAAACGTATTCTTGTATTTGCAGAAATTCTTTTAAATGACGGATCAGCCTCCAAACGTGTGAATGTAGAAGAACATTACATTTTCATATGGAATAATAAGACAATCCATGGAATAAATGTCAAAATTATCTGGGCAGAAATTAATGCCCACCAGAAAGGTAACTTTGATGAGGGTAGCAAGAATGCTTTCAGTTTAAAGTATTTTTGTTTTCTTTCTTCAAGTTTCTCATAATTATAGTATATAAAAACTATGTCAGATTTGTTTCTTATGAGAATTTGTGATTTGATCAAAGAGACAGTATTTTTTTGTTCATGTCAAAATGCAATTTTAAGGTAAAGAAAATAGTACCATAGGGGATAATTTCTTTTCCTAGTGAAATGTTGCATATTATATTTTTATTTTGTTTTATTTCTAGGAATAATGACACAGAGATTTACAGTAAAATTTTTAGGCTATAACAGTGGTAATGAAGAGGAAACATCTGGAAATCCAGGTAAGATTTGTATGCATCAATCATTGATCTTACAAACATATTTTAGTTCAATACTCCTGCATTATCACGATGGCTTTAAGTAACTCTCTTGAATTGTAGTTTGTGACTCTGACCTTTCCTTTATTCTCTTTTGTGATGCTGTATTCTTTTTCTAATAGCAACTTAATTTTTTTTATAGAGAGTGTTGTACCTAGTAGCACTGTTACTTCCAATGTAAAACATTCTTTCTCTTTACTGTACTGCTCTTTTGAGAGACACGCTGCATTTATCATGTTGGTAACATGAGCTTTCTAAGAAATAGTGAGCTGCAGATGATGAGTTCTTAACCTGAGATCCCTGGTGAGACTGCATGGGGTCTCTGAACGCCCTGTCCTGTGTGTTTTGTATTTATGCAGATATAACACCCCCTGATTTGTCATAGACTTGTTTTCTTTTTTCTTTTTTTCCATAGAGCTATGGTATAGAAAGATCTACTTGTTTCTTTCATTCACTTTAGCCTCCTCATTGCCTCAGACAGCCTAATCTGTGGGACTGCACTGTCCTACATGGTAGCCAGTTGCCACATACAGCTGTTGAGTGCTTGAAATGTGGCCAATATTGTGTGCGAAAATGATAATATTTTGGATTATTGATTGATTCTAGAGGTGGCTATATTGGCGTTGATGGTATTACTTTCAACTTTTCTGTACATGTGAACATTTTCATAGTAAGAAGTTGGAAACAGTAAGTTGGATTCATAGGAGATGGATGGGAATAGGACCTAACACCAGACTTTGAGGTTGCTCGGATTTACTAGCAAATGGTCCCACTGAAAGGTCACTTTGGTTTAGTTTCCTTTACAGTCTCCTGCGATAGGTAGTATTAATCATTCAGCAAGTGTTCATTAGCTTGCCCGCTCATGTGTCTCTGCACGAGAGATCTAAGACTGACTCATGCCTGCTTTTTAATTTTCGGGTTTTGTTTTGTTTCCACACCAGCAGCTTTTTTTTTTTTTTTGAGACAGGCTTTGTTGCCCAGGCTAGAGTGAGTGCTGTGGCGTCAGCCTAGCTCATAGCAACCTCAAACTCCTGAGCTCAAGTGATCCTACTGCCTCAGCCTCCCGAGCAGCTGAGACTACAAGCATCTGCCACCATGCCCAGCTAATTTTTTGTATATATATTTTTAGTTGGTCAATTAATTTATTTCTATTTTTGGTAGAGACGGGGTATCGCTCAGGCTGGTTTCGAACTCCTGACCTTGAGCGATCGGCCCGCCTTGGCCTCCCTGAGTGCTAGGATTACAGGCGTGAGCCACTGCGCCTGGCCACCAGCAGTTCTTTATTGTAGAACAAAATGGGTCTGTCTCCACGAGTAGAGAGAGACAGACTGACAAGACCAATTCACTGACCCACTCTCTCTTTCTCTGAACTCTCAAATTGTTTCCTTTATTAGCCCAGTCTGGGGCAGGCTCTCGGATGTGTGGGATGTTATCAAATGATCAGTAGTCATCCTCAGTTCCATCTGCATATATGAGCCCCCTCTCTGAAAGCCCACGTGGGTGGGGGTGAACCACAATCAGATTCAAAATAATGGCATAATAATTATGGCTAGGTTACTTTAGGTCAGTTTCTAAGTCCTATCATGCCTGGGATTGGGAATTCCCAGATTCATAAAACATTCCCTCCTTCCCAGGTGTAGCAGTTGCTCTGGATAGGATTAGGGTAGGCAACACCAAAATGGAGTGTCCGCCTTTATCCTTCTTCCCAGGTGAAGCAATTGCTTGGAATAACAGCAAAGCAGGGAACCCTTGTCCCAAGAACGGCCAGAGATCCTAACTGTCTACCTAACATATATATATGTATGTATTCAGTTTTACCCAACAACTGAAAAATACACATTCATTTCAAGCACACATTAAACATTCTCAGAGATAGACATAGGTGGTTATAAGGTGAAAGTCATTGATCTTAAAATTGAAAAAATATACACCTTGTTCTTTAATCCTAACAGAATTAAATTAGAAATCAGTAAGAGGAAGGAATCTCTAAAATCTCTACATATATGAAAATTAAACAGCCACTTTTAAATAAAATATATTATTAATAGATCAAACTTGAAATTACAAAGTATGTTCAGATGAATGAAAGTAGATGCAGCTAAAGCTAAGAGGGAAACTTATAGCTTTGAAAAACTTATAATTAGCCTGGTGTGATGGTTCATGCCTGGAATCCTAGCACTCTGGGAGGCTGAGGCAGGTGGATTGCTTGAGGTCAGGATTTCGAAACCAGCCTGAGCAAGAGTGAGACCCTGTCTCTACTATAAATAGAAATTAATTGGCCAACTAATATATATGAAAAAATCAATAAGATAATGGTGGCACATGCCTGTAGTCCCAGCTACTCTGGAGGCTGAGGCAGTAGGATTGCTTGAGCCCAGGAGTTTGAGGTTGCTGTGAGCTAGGCTGACACCATGGCACTCACTCACTCTAGCCTGGGCAACAAAGCAAGACTCTGTCTCAAAAAAAAAAAAAAAAAAAAACTTATTATAGGAGAAAATTACCCTTATCAGTGATCTAAGTTTCCACTTTAATTTAGAAAATTAAGCAATTCAATCACAAAGTAAGCAGAAAGAAGTAATAAAGACTGTAAATGGTTATCAATAAAATGTTAAAGTGGACTGATAGTATATACAATTTTAAAAATTAAAAACATTTTGTAAGATTAAAGAATCTATCTTTACTGCAAGGGGAGAGAGGAAAGGAGAAATTAGAGGTGTGAATTAGGAAAATCACCTCCAGATTTTATTGTTAAAATATATTTTAAAATCACATGAAAGTCTTTGTTGTTAAAGGAAAGCAAAACAATGAATGAAGGTGCTATCCTTATCTCAAGGGTGTTTTTCTTTCATTTCTCATTTCTCTTCTATATTATTTGATGAGACAGCACTTGCTGTGTTAGAATATAGGAGGAGAGGTGCTAATTCTCATCTGTTGTGTTTGTCTAGGTTACCAACTTGGCAAGCCTGTCCGAGTTCTAAATACCAATGGAACAAATAATGACACAACTTTTCACCTTTGGCAGTCAGGTAATCCAGCCTGGGCATTATGACTAGCCCTCTGGTAAACTGGAGCTAGAAGTATTACCATATTTTGAATCTAATCAAGGAATCAATACTTTAACACCCAGTTGGTTTATTTAGCAAGGAGGAATAACTGCAGTGGTTGTTTTTCATGCTTCTACAGCTTTTTTTTTTTTTAAAGAAATGCTATCAGTGTTTGCACCTGAAGTCATAGTCGTTAGTGAGGTTTAAATGTCTTGAGATATCTCTTGTCATTGTCATCTATAGCCCAGGATAGTGCTAATTGGGGACATGAGAATAACTACATTCTGAACTATGGAAAATCTTCCCGTTAGTGGTAGTTACCCACATGTGCCAGAGGTGTTCGATTCCATGTTCTGCATAAACCACTGATCAGGTCCAGGGATTCTGATACAGGAAGGCACCCTTGTTCCACTTGAAAGGGATTAGAGTAACGACGATCTTAGTTTTTGAAAACTGGAAACTTTATTTCTACTTACTATTTCTCTCTTTCTTTAAGCTCTGAAGTAAATCCCTACTTTTACTTAGCAAAATAATAAGAGGATAATCTTTTTCTTTTATAGCTGGAAGGGGTTATGTACGTCAGCAACTTTCAAACCATTTTATTTGGAGAAAATGCACTATCTGGGTGCTTATTAGAAGTTGGGATTAATGAAAACTGTACTCAGCTCAGGTGAGTGTTTCACTGATGAATTTATCTGCAGTTTGAATGGTTTGCCTAAAATTAATCCACTACATGAATGTTAAAGACAACATGAATATGAAAAATTAGAGTCTGAATTAAACCTTATAAAAGTCAATCATGAGCGGGCGCGTGGCTCACACCTGTAATCCTTACTCTGGCGGAGGCGGAGGGTGGGCGATGCTCAAGGTCAGGAGTTCAAAACCAGCCTCAGCAAGAGCGAGACCCCATCTTACTATCAATAGAAAGAAATTAATTGGCCAACTGATATATATATAAAAAAATTAGCCGGGCATGGTGGCGCATGCCTGTAGTCCAGCTACTCGGGAGGCTGAGGCAGAAGGATCACTCGAGCCCAGGAGATTGAGGTTGCTGTGAGCCAGGCTGACGCCATGGCACTCACTCTAGCCTGGGTAACAAAGTGAGACTCTGTCTCAAAAAAAAAAAAAAAAGTCAATCATGGGGGCCTGGCGAGGTGGCTCACGCCTGTAATCCTAGCATTCTAGGAGGCTAAGGCGGGCAGATTGCTCAAGGTCAGGAGTTCAAAACCAGCCTGAACAAGAACGAGAGTCCATCTCTACTTTAAATAGAAGATTGCTGTGAGCTAGGCTGACGCCATGGCACTCTAGCCCAGGCAACGGAGTGAGACTCTGTCTAAAGAAAAAAATCAATCATGAAGAGATTTACCATTTGTCTGATGTAGCTGGGAAAAAAAGAAAAAATATACTGTAAAAGTGATAGTGAATAATGAATAAATATAAACTTGCAGTACAATTTAGAGTTGATCCAATCATCCGTCTAAGGGAAAACAGGCCTTTTTCTTGGAACTAAAGCCATTTCATCCATATTTAAGCAAATTTCTCTGCCAAAGTTTATTTAGATCATTGGAACCTTGTACTCTAGAGCTATGAAAAGGGCCAGAGCAAGATATAATTGGTGTGATTAGTATTTAAAGAATATATAAGCCCTGCTACATGGTATATAAAGAAGAACTTTCCACTTCATTATATGGATGGCATTTGGAAAGTATATTTATGAATATGCTTATGCATTTTTTAATTTAAAATTTAGGTGAAATTGGCCGGGTTGATGGCTCAAACTTGTAATCCCAGCACTCTGGGAGGCCCAGGTGAGAGAATTGCTTGAGCTCAGGAGTTCGAGACCAGCCTGAGCAAGAGCGAGATCCCATCTCTACTAAAAATAGAAAAATTAGCCCAGTGCCTATAGCCCCAGCTATTTGGGAGGGTGAGCAAGGAGAATTACTTGAGCTCAGGAAGGTGTGGTTCTATGATGACACCACTGTACTCTAGGTGAGACGACAGAGTGAGACTCTGTTTGGGTAAAAAAAATTCAGGTGAAATTCACATAATATCAGATATCAAAGGCAGGGGCAAATAAAAAAATAAAAGGCAGAAAAATGTAAAAAAGGACAAAATATAAAACAAAAAGATAAAGAAAAAATTCACATAATATAGTCTTTTAAAGTGAACAATTCAGTAGCATTTAGTGCATTCATAATGGTGTGCAACCACCACCTCTGTCTACTTTTCTAACTTTGAAACATTTTCATCACCAAGAAAGGAAACCTATTGAGCAGTTACTCTACATTTCCCCTCATCCCAGCCTTTGTCAACAGCTAATCTGCATTCTGTTGCCATGGATTTACCTTTCTGGGTATCGGTGGCAGCTTGGATCACAGGTTGTGATGCCCCAGCCCACAGTCCTTCTCCTGTAGTTTGGATTTGTACCCTCCAGTGATATTAATGAAAGGAGGGATACTGAGTATTAATATTCACTTAATTTTGTGACTCAAAATTCTAGCTAGATATTTAGGTTCCTTTTACTGTTGGATCACTCTGGCCCTTGAATTTATCCTGGTAACTTGATATGTGACCTAACCACCTCCCAGGTTTGGTGACATTCATTGGAGTCTGTAAACCACTTGATAGCCACGTAAGTTGCTAACATTTTAAGTCTGAAGTAAAGGATTGCTTCTGTGTGTCCTCCCCTAGCTGCTTAGGGTCATCCTGGGATGGCCATGGAAGGGAAGTGTGATGGCCAGCAAGTTTTTAATGCCAGTTCCTTTGGCAGTTTTTTATTTAGGCACTCGGCAAGCACTGCCTGGACATTCACTGAAAAGGACTTCGGGACAAGACCTGCTGGTTCTAAGCTAAGAAATGTCTTATTTTTTTGCAGGGAGGAAGCTGTTGAAAGACTGGCTTCATTAATAAAAGCGACTCATGTTGCAATGAGAGGCAACTCCAATTACAGTGACCTTAGTGATGGCTGGCTCGAGATAATACGTAAGTCAAAGCTGCTTGTGATAAGATGTGTGACTTGGTTGCTGTGACTGCCAACTGTAGTTTAGCATTAGAGCTTGACCCAGTAGGTCATCTTTCTTTGTCATGGCATAACTGGACAGTTGTCTAGGCAGGAAGCTCTTTACAACTTTCTCTTATTCATGATGGGTTTTTTGTTTTTTAAGAGGAAATTTACATGAGTTCAATTGCCCAGTCATTTTATGAGCCAACAATCTTTGTAAAAGAAAGTCCAGGCTGGGGTAATGGCTCAGAACTTTAATCCCTTTGCTTTGGGAGGCTGAGGTGGGAAGATGGCTTGAGTCCAGGAGTTGGTCACTAGCCTGGGCAACATAGCAAGATCCCTTCTCTAAAACAAGTTTTTAAAAACTTAGCTGGGTATAGTGGTGTGTGCCTGTAGTCTTAGCCACTCAGGAAGCTGATGTGGGAGGATCGCTTGAGCCCAGGAGACTGCAGTGAGCTATGATGGAGCCACTGCCCTCCCACCTGGGAGACAGAGCAAGATCATAGCTCTAAAAAAAAATAAAGACTAAAAAAAAAAAAATAAAAACTAAGACTTTTAGTACACTTCAGTTTGAATTGTTATTTTTGATTGCCAGGAATACAGGCATTTGAGAATTGACTTTGTAGTTTATAAAAATTTTAACTTAAAAGAAAAGAAAGTGATTGAAACATCATGCTAAGTGAAAGAAACCAGACACAAAAGACCATATATTGTGCTTGTTTTAGCAGTAAATACAACTCAAATTGGAACAATACAGGGAAGATTAGCATGGCCCCTGCGCAAGGATGACATGCAAATTTATGAAGTGTTCCATATTTAAGATGAATAAAATAAAAAAGAAACAAAAGACCACATGTCGTATGACTCCATTTATGTGCAATGTCCAATGTGGGTGAATGCATACAGGCAGAAAGCGGATTAGTGGGTGTCAGGGGCTGTAGGAATTGGAAGAAAATGGGGAGCAACTGTCATGGATGTTTCTGGGTTTCTGGGTTCTGTTTCATGGGTTTCTTTATGGGGTGATAAAATGTTCTGAAATTGAATCGGGTGATGTTTACACAACTCTGTGAATATATTCAAAACTACTCAATTATATACTTTAAATGGGTGGAATGCATGGTGTGTGAATTGTATCTAAAAGCTGTAAGAAAGAAAGAAATTAAGGTACAACAGATTTAATAGTAGCATGGATCACAGAGGCCAGATGAAAATAGTTGACAGTCCAGTGCCTTTGGCCCAAGCCTGGGTTGGTAGGCGGATCATGCACAAAGTTGGGGTGAGGTTGGGGGGGACAAATAAGCCACATGCACATAGAGTAAAAGTGAACCAGACTTAGCTTGCACCAACTGTCCTGATTTTATCTCCAAATCTAAAATGTTCATGTGTAGTTGTTGAGATCCAGCTCATTAGGTGTTCTAAGGAGAATCCTAAGGTCACAGTGAGTTTTGGCAGAGCTAGAGTGAAAACCCAGGGTTCCAGCTTCTTTTTTCTCTTTCCAGGTAGCAAGTCAGGTATCTTTCTGATTTCTTGGGGATGCTTGCGTGTATAAATGTGCTGAATAGAAAGCTTCTTCTATTGGGCTAATTAACGGAATTGGCCTTAGGGCCAGAAAGAGCTCAGTAATCCTGCTCCTCTGCTTTCCTGAGAGCCCTCCTGTCCCTGCTGCAATGCTGCTGTGCCCCTCACTTCAGTCTGGATTCTGCCTCTCCCTTTTCCATCCGCTCTGAGGTCACGTTGGCTCAGCAGACTGGAATTCACACAGGGACCATCCAGACACATGCCCGCACTGTCTCCACCCCTGTGATGGGGATCACAATGATGAGGACCCCCTATCCCCCTTGGATGTTCATGGATCGAGTGACAGGCCCACTCTTTGACTCAGGGAAGAATCCTGTTGGCCGTGGGGTTCTCAGGCTGCCCTTTTGCCAATCCAGCCCATGCCCAAGACACTGGGCCCAGAGTTGGAGCCTTCTTTGCAAACAGAACCTAGAGGTCAGGCTTGTTGAGCCCTGGCCTCTGCCCTCCAGGCCAGCTAGGTGGCCTAGGGAGTGACCAGGGAGTGACCCCTTAGGGGTGGAGGGAAGGAGTGAGTCAAAGCACTTGACTAGGAAACAGTATGGAAAATTTCCAGACAGAGAGCCCAGGTTGGTTAGGTGCAACATCAGAGAAGTGATAACATTTTGTTCCCTTCAAGGTGAAAGAGGTTAGCTTGCATGTCATGTCTGTGCCAAAAAACGTTTCTGTGCCCTGATCCTGGTTAATAAACAGAAGAGAAGTGATGTTGACACGTGTATGAGGAAATTAGATGTCGTGAAGAAATTGTCACTGACCTTCAGAATCCCTGAAGGAGCAAAGAAACCCCCTCCAGAATTGTGACAGACCTGTCCCTACCTCTTGTGAAAAATATAACACCTCTGTTCATTTAATCCTAAAGATAATCTAGAATCAGTAAGAGGAAGGAATCTCTAAAATCTCTAATATATAAAATTAAACAACACTTTTAAATAAAATATAATATTAATTAGATCAAACTGAAATTACAGTATGTTCAGATGAAGAAGTAGATGGCGCTAATTAGAGGAACTTATAGCTTTTAAAAACTTATAATTGGCCTGGCGTCATGGCTCACGCTGTATCTAGCACTCTGGGAGGCGGGAGGTGGGTGGAGGTGGCTCGAGATCAGGAGTTTCCAAACCAGCCTGGCAAGAGTGAGACCTCTCTACTATAATAGAAAGAATTAATTGGCCAACTAATATATATACAAAAATCAGCCAGGCATGGGGCAGTATCAGCTACTCTGGAGGCTGGGGCAGTAGGATTGCTGAGCCAGGAGTTTGAGGTTGCTGTTGAGCTAGGCTGACGCCACGGCACTCACTCTAGCCTGGGCAATAAAGCAAGACTCTGTCTCAAAAAAAAAGAAAAACTTATTATAGGGGAAAATTACCTTATCAGTGATCTAAGTTTCTACTTAATTTAGAAAATTAAGCAATTCAAATCACAAAGTAAGCAGAAGAAGTAATAAGACTGTAAATGGTTATCATAAAATGTGTTAAAATGGACCGATAGTAATATACAATTTAAAAATTAAAAACATTTTATAAAATAAAGAAATCTATCTTTACTGCAGGGGAGAGAGGAAAGGAGATTAGAGGTGTGAATTAGGAAACATCACTCCAGATTTTATTGTTTAAAATGTATTTAAAAATCATATGAAAGGTCTTTGTTAAAGGAAGCAAAACAAACAATGAATGAAGGTGCTATCCTTATCTCAAGGGTGTTTTTCTCATTCGCTTCTCTTCATATTATTTGATGAGACAGCACTTGCTGTGTTAGAATATAGGAGGAGAGTGCTAATTCTATCTGTTTGTGTTTTGTCTAGGTTACACTTGGCAGCCTGTCGAGTTCTAATACCAATGGAACAAATAATGACACAACTTTTCACCTTTTGCAGTCAGGTAATCCAGCCTGGGCATTATGACTAGCCCTCTGGTAAACTGGAGCTAGAAGTATTACCGGTATTTTGATCATCAAGAATCAATTACTTTAACACACGTTGGTTGTATTTAGCAAGGAGGAATAACTGCAGTGTTGTTTTTCATGCTTCTATATTTTTTTTTTTTTTTAAAGAAATGCTGTCAGTGTTTGCACCTGAAGTCATAGTCGTTGTGAGGTTTAAATGTTGAGATATCTCTTGTCATTGTATCTATAGCCCAGGATGGTGCTTATTGGGACATGAGAATAACTACATTCTGAACTATGGAAATCTTCCGTAATGGTTTTACACATGTGCAGAGGTGTTCGATTCCATTTTCTGCATAACCACTGATCAGGTCCAGATTCTGATACAGGAAGGGCCCTTGTTCACTTAAAGGATTAGGTAACGACGATCTTAGTTTTTGAAAACTGGAAACTTTATTTCTACTTACTATTTTCTCTTTCTTTAAGCTTTGAGTAAATCCCTTATTTACTTAGCAAAATAATAAGAGATATCTTTCTTTTATAGCTGGAAGGGGTATATGTACGTCAGCAACTTTCAAACCCATTTTATTTGGAGAAAAATGCACTATCTGGGTGCTTATTAGAAGTTGGATTAATGAAAACTGTACTCAGCTCAGGTGAGTGTTTCACTGATGAATTTATCTGCAGTTTGAATGGTTTGCCTAAATTAATCTACTACATGAATGTTAAAGACAACATGAATATGAAAATTAGAGTCTGAATTAACCTTATAAAAGTCAATCATGAGGCCGGGCGAGGTGGCTCACACCTGTAATCCTAGCATTCTAGGAGGCTAAGGCGGGCAGATTGCTCAAGGTCAGGAGGTTAAAACCAGCCTGACAGAACGAGGTCCATCTCTACTTAAATAAGAAGTGCTGTGAGCTAGGCTGACGCCATGGGCACTCTAGCCCAGGCAATGGAGTGAGACTCTGTCTAAAGAAAAAATCATCATGAGAGATTTACCATTTGTCTGTGTATCTGGGAAAAAAAGAAAATATACTGTAAAGTGTAGTGAATAATGAATAATATTAACTTGCAGTCAATTTAGAGTTGATCCAACTGGTCTAAGGGAAAACAGCCTTTTCTTGGAACTAAGCCATTTCATCATATTTAAGCAAATTTCTCTGCCAAGTTTATTTAGATCATTGAACTTGTACTCTAGAGCTATGAAAAGGCAGAGCAAGTATAATTGGGTGATTATATTTAAAGAATATATAGCCTGCTACATGGTTTTAAAGAAGAACTTTCTATTCATTATATGGATGGCATTTGGAAGTTATTTATGATATGTTATGCATTTTTAATTTAAATTTAGGTGATTGGCCGGTTGATGGTCAACTTGTAATCCAGCATCTGGGAGGCCCAGGGGAGGAATTGCTTCGCTCAGGAGTTCGAGACCAGCCTGAGCAAACGGCGAGATCCCATCTCTACTAAAAATAGAAATTCCGAGTGCCTATAGCCCAGCTATTTGGGGAGGTGAGCA